AGTTTTTTAGTCTTCTTACGTTAGGGTTTTATTTTTTTTTAGTAAAAAAAAATCTTGGTACATGTAAGGGAAAACATCCAGGTGTTTGGATTTAAAAACTTGATAAAAAGCTAATTTGATTGGTAGAGGGCAAACAGGTGTGTAAAACATTTTATTCCTTTGTACTTAACATTTTAAGTCCTTAATGTCTTGGCTTTCCCCCGCAAACTCAGTATAAGTGATCCAGTCCTCTTGTGCTTCTCTAACTCATCTCCCACATTCTTTTATTTATAAGAGATGGAAAAGAATATCATACTAGATTGTCTCACTTAAGGCAGGTAGCCTTGTCATCATAAAGCTCTCTTTCCGTATCTTAATCCAGGCATAAATATCCAGTGAATGATTCTCATTAGAGAGCTAACTAATAATCGTTGAAAGCACATAATTGAAGTATGCAGCAGTGTTAAATGTTTATGGTTTGCTTTCTCTTTGTAGAACACAAAGTAATCATAGTGGGACTGGATAACGCAGGGAAAACCACCATTCTTTATCAATTGTAAGTATGTGGGTTTAATTAAGGTTTTTGTTATTTTAGTTATTGGAGCTAATTTTGTATAATTAGAAAGAGATACCATTATAATGGGAAAACTTAAGACACGTGGTTTTGTCTTCTTCCAGACACAAAATTTATTAAAAAGTGAATAGGGTAAACTGTTGTATGTTTGCTACAGCCTTCAAAAACACGCGTCTTTTTCCAGCCTTGAAAGAAAGAATTAATAGTAAACTAAAACTAAGTGAAGTACACATTCTCGTGCTGGGATGAAGGGATAAAGTGCATTTCACTTAGGTCTTCCCACTCTGAGGTGCATGTGACTAGACAGATACCTATCTAGGAAGTTACTGCTACTCTGCTGCCTAATAGCTCTGGAATTTTTAAACATTTCCAGACTTGGCAATTCACCAGAAATGAAGATCGCCCCTGAAAATAACTGCTTTAGTAGCCTGCAATAGGAAGAGGCTTGAGCCTTTTAGAGAAACACTTTAACAGTTTAAGGAAATTTTGACAGGCCATCAATCCCCTTGTCCGATGACCTCCCATTATCTTCGGTTCCAAAGAAATGATCCTTGTTAAGCAATGGAAATGAATCTATGTCCCTACGATGTAACAAATAGTTACTAAATGCAGTGCACCATTGTGTGGCTCTTAACCTCTCCTTACCTCATCTTAAGTGTAGCAGCTGAGAGCTCTTTCACTTAAACAGTTCTTAATGTATTTTCAGCTATTTTGCTAAAAAGCTACCAACTTCTGGCTTGTTGTTTCAGAGTTTAACAACCACTTGTTTTTTTTTTAAACATTCATTCATTGGCCATGATGTATTTTAATATGACTTAACCTTTAGACATCACATCACATTTCAGAAACCTGCCATCACTGTTGAAGTAATTTTGCACATAGCTTCAAAATATATATGTACATATATATAAAACCCAAGAGAGAGTTATAAGCTTTTTCCACCACAGTACTGATGTGTTATAGGTAAATATCTATTTGTTGAATTAATTAGTGTAGCTTCACTGGTGATTCTGATAATACATGTGATAGGAGCATCAGCATTCTAATACACACATTTTCATTTGCCCAAGGTCTTTTTAAGACTGCAGTTTCAGTTAATAGGCATGCACTAATTTCTATGCCTCAGCCGGGTCTGTTTTCTCACATAAATAGTCTTCAGAATTATAGACAGCCTACTGTTCAATGGTGACTACTTTGCAACTTGATGACAGTCACCTGGAAACCTGCTCTTTCAGGATGGGGCACTGGTTCTGCTCTAGCTGGTAACAGGGCATGGGGGCTACTGGAATTTTGGCCACAGTAATGCAACTTCACCTCACAGTTGCCTCCTATCCAGATCAAGCCTGTAGTTTACTCCATTGAAAGAATGAAAACAACCAGCCTTCCTTCGGGATTTGTTCTCTGTCTAGGTGTTTGCACAAATGTTCTCCAGGGTTCCATTTCTGTTGCTAGTGATTACCATCACTGATGCAAGGAAGGAAGGTTGATTCATATAAAAGTACAGGGAAAATGTGCTTCAGGTTCTCGGGATTGACAAGAGCTTTTATGGTGTCTGTCTTTTAACAGCTTAATGAATGAAGTGGTTCATACATCTCCAACCATAGGAAGCAATGTTGAAGAAATAGTCGTGAAGAACACTCATTTTCTCATGTGGGACATTGGTGGTCAGGAGTCCCTGCGCTCATCGTGGAACACGTATTACACAAACACTGAGGTACGCTACACTTACTTCTGAATTTGAATGAAAACAGCCAAGGGGTAAACCCAGAGAACAGACTGGACATAAGCTATAGCGACATCTGCCTTTCAATAAGATTCTCTTTTGTGAGGAATGTGAGGTCCTCAAGTAGAAGAGAAGGGCAGGCGGGAGGAGCAACGGGGGCTGTGGTCAGTGGAGTGCTTCCTGCAGTCAGGCTCGCTCGGCGGCCCCTCTGGGTGACACTGTTAGAGCTCCGTTGTTGGAGAAATCGGACACTGGAATAAACTCTGTAACCTTTCCCAACTTTATAAGAGGCCCTGGTTAGGGGAGGAATAAAATATTATAAGTGTAATTTAATACAGGATTTTTAAGTAATATGAAATTGAGCATTCACAATTTGGGGAGGATTATGTTTTAATTGAAAAGCAAATGGATATGCAGGCCAGCCCCTCCCCAGTGTTCTGTTGTCATTTATTTTATTTTCCTAGTTCGCAGTCAACCTGGACAACAAATCTGGAATATCTTCTGCTTTTGTTTTTATTTCTTAGAGGCAGGTTTTTTTGTTTGTTTGTTTGTTTTAAACTGTGCAGTGTGATTGAGAGAGGTTTGTCCTTGGGAATACTAATGCACATTTGGGTCTGTAATTTTTCTTTGCAAAGAGGTACACAAAATTAATTATTTTTTCTAAACGGAAGCCTCTTAACACTTGAGTGTTTTTTGAGGGGTGGGATTGCAGAGGAGGTGGAGTACTGATGCAAGGAATTTTGAGTGAATAAATTGCCTTTTTAAAAAGACCCATGTATTCCTCTAGGTTTATATTGTAATAACATATGTGTGTGTGCATATATAGTCCAGCACAGTGTACAAGTGGTCACACCAAGATGGCATGTCATAGATGTTCAGCAGATGTGGGAGCACTTAATTTTTTTTTTTTTTAATTTGCAGGGGGAAGATAAGTTGGGAAGCTAGTATTTATGGTTATAGGTTAGTTTAATATATCTTTCTGCAGTAAAATAACATTCCGAAACTAAAATTTGTTAGAGAGATGGAAAGAACAACATTGCAGCATAGCTGTTGGAATTTTTTCAAAGCTGA